CTTTTTATTTTATTTATTTTTTCTTATATAAAACACTAATATATTTTCTTGCTAAGGTCACGTGACCCCGAGTTTAGAGAGAGATCGCGGCATCTTACTAGCTTTATTATTAATATAATAATAATAATAATTAAGCTCTATAAGCCTAAATAAACCTTTCTAAATACTAAATATAGCTTTTCCTAGTATTATATGTATTATATATATAATAAAGTTCTAATTATATGGGTTTTAAACTAACTTTTAATTAAATTAAATCTATAAACCTTATTTATTATTTAATTATTTTCTTTTTCTTACTTTTATATATTATCTTTTTAGATATTATTCTATAATATTTTTACTTTTATATATATTAAATAGCTTATTTAATATTTAATTTCTTTTAATATATATTTATTTAGTAAAATATATAATTATAAAATCTTTATATAGTTTTAATTAAATAAGATTCAAGTATTTCTATTACCTTAATTTTAGTATTTAGAAAGCTAGTTTTCTTTATTTAATAATATCGAGTTTTACTATATTTCTAGTATATCTTAATTAGATTAATTTTATAATGAAACTTTAGTAAAAATATAGTTTTATATTCCTAATTTATAATAAGCTTTTTAACTTGGAACTTCTTTTTAAAGAAGTCTTAGTAATTTAATAATATATAAGCTAAATAATATATTTATTTAATAGTAGAAGAGTATTTAAGAGATATAGTATATTTAGTATTCTTTAAATACTTAAATCTTAAGTCAAATATATTATAACTTTATTTAATAAAAATCTATTTTATATTTTAGGCTCTTTTTTTTATTCGAATTTAGTTATTAAAGAATTTAAATAGTATTCTATTATTCCGGAATTATATATTCTAGTAAAAAGTATATATTTCTTTTATAGGCCTTAATATTACTCTTTTTAATTTCTTTTAATACCTTATTTATATTAAAGCCATTTAGTATATTTTTATTATATAAAGCATATATAGAGAACTAATTAAATATTAGAATAGCTAGATAGTTTAGGTACTTCTATTCAAATATATCGAGTATTTTAGTAATTTATACTAGTAGCTATTTTATATTTTACTAGAGGTTTCTATTTGAGTCTAAATATATAATTTTATAAGTATTTAAATCGGAGTTATCCGGAATAAAAATGCCTTTATTATTTGGTATTCTAATATACTCTTTAGGGCCCACGAATTCAAAATTATAAATTAGTCTCTCTTTATTCTTTCCGAGTATTTTTTACTAATTATCTATTAGCTAGAGGCTCTTTTTATAATTATATTTATAGAAATAACTCTTATTATAGAAATATATTATATATACCTGAATTCTAATTAGAAATAAAGATTAAATCATATATTATATACTAGCTTTATTTTTCTTATATTAAACTATATATAATAAAAGCTTTTTTATTAATAGTAAAAATATCTTTTAATAATATTAAATTATATTAAAGTATTTGTATTTATTTATATAAAGTTCTTTTTTAGTTTTATAATAATAAAAGCCGAGCCTAGAAAGCTATAAATAAGCTATATTATAAATAATAGGCTTTTTTATTATTAATAATAATTAAAATACAATCTTTTAATTAATAGTATTTAGGAAATTATTTAATAATATTATTTCAAGCTTCTAATTAATTAATTAAGTATAGTAGACTAAAAAAATATTCTTATTATCTAAATTAAAAATACTAGTTCTTTTATTATTTCTAGTTTCATATAAAATACTATATTATTATTAATAGTAATTAAATAGCTTCCTAATTTACTAAGCTAGTATTTTTCTATTATTAAAGTAATAATTACTAGAAGCTATTAAAAGTAATATATTAATTCTTTTAAATTAATATTATACTAGCTTTAGAAGCTATTAGATATATTACTAGAATAAATATAAGTTAATAATTATATATAAAATATATAGCTCTTTAATTTAAGCTAATTTAATATTTATATTATTAAGAATTTCTTAGTAAGTTATTTATATATCTAGAGCTTTATTATTTCTATAAGCATTTCTAATAAAAGTATTTAAAAATAGTTTATTAGTTCTATTATTTTTATTTTTAAGTTTTTGCTTTTTCTTAATTATATACTTCTAGAAATATTAATTAGTTCTCTAATAATATCGAATTATAGCTTCTTTTATTTAAAAAATAATATAATTATAGGAGTTTTAAGCTTATTAAATTATTTTATAATTTGACTATTTTTTACTTTCTAATTATATATATATCTTTATTAAGTTCTTAATAATTTTACTAATTCCTTTATTAATTTAGAGATATAAAAGCTTTTAAAAGCTAGAAATAATATTAGTATATTTGTATTATAATATAAAAATAAGAAAATAAAATAAGAAACTTATTAGTTTATTTTATAAGTTTTTACTTTTATTATATAAATATAAGCTTTTCTAAAATAATTATCTTATTACTACTAATAATAAGCTTTTACTAAGCCTAAAAGAAAGTCGAATCTTTAAATTCCATTTTATTACTTTATTTAATATCTGATTTAGAAGAATTATTTTTTATATTAGAGAATTTCCTATATTATTTATTAATAAATACTTGAATTAGAGCTTTTTTAGCTATAATAAGAATTATAATTAAATTAAGAATTAAATTAGCTCGCTTGTATTTTTAAAGACTTATAGAAGTAATTATTAAAAATATATAAAAAAGGCATTTAATTAGATTTATAATTATTAAGATATTAATATAATTATAGAAAAGTAATTATATAATAACTAAATTAAAAAAAAGAATTATATAAAATATTAATATATTTACTTATTTAATTATATATATTATAACTTTCTTAATAATAAAAATATTATAATTTTAAGAATATAGAATTAGTTCCTATAATATATAATATAGTTTTAATTAATATAATTTATATTAATTAGTATTATAATAGTTTTTTTTAATTACTTTTAAATCGAACTAATTATAGTAAAATTACTGGCCTATTTACTTATCTAACTAGTCTAGAGCTTTCTTTTATTCTAATATTAGTTAATTTATATAAGAATAGTTATAGTATATTATATCTATATTTATTAAAACCTAATTAAATAAATATTATTTAAATTCTTTATAGAATTAAAAAGTAAATATATTTTAAATTATATTATAAATATAAGATCTAGAATCTAGAAAATAAAATTAGACTATTTCTATTCTAATAATTTAAAGCTAAAAAAAAGAAGAGAATTTTAAAGAAGCCTCGGATCTAAATAATAGCAAGCTATATACGGGCCTATATACTAGCTTAAGCTCGTAATATATAACTTTATATATAACTATTAAATAGCTATAAATATTCAAATATTTAGATATTTAGATATTTAGATACTCAAATACTTAAATATTATATTAGATATCTAAATATCCCGATTTTAACTTTATATATCTAACTAGTTCTATTCTAATTCCTATTAGTATTATATATTATAATAACTATAATAATAATTATATTTATTTATAATTATAGGAATTAAAAATACCTTTATAGCTTGGCTATTAAAGAATACTTATATAGTTTTTATTTTAGAAGAAGTTTTTTTAGGTCTCTTTTTTAACTTTAAAATATATTTATTATCTAATATAATAAAAGATATTATTAAAATAAAGGCTTAATTTTTATTTATTTAATATAATATATTTCTTTATTAGATATATACCTGAAATAGACTTTATTTTAAAATATTATATTCTTTTTATTTTATTTTTAAAGATTAAAAAGCTTTTTAATAACTTTACTAATTATTTTACAAGTTCTAGTAATTATAATTTCCTAAAAGTAAATATATTAAATAAAGCAAATAGAAATAAAGAGATTATTAAAGTAAATAAAATAGTTAGATTTCTTAAAAGGCTTAGATAGTTTTTTAATTAAGTATAGAATTACTATTTATATCTTATTTCTTCTAATTCTAGTTTTAATTATTTTACTAAACTCTCTTAAAATATATATTTTTATAGGCTTATTCTTTTATTCAGAAATATAATAGTTCTATATAAGTAAGAACTCTTTCTGGGCTGCTTTCTAAACCTTATATTCTATAGATATAGGCTTATTTGAAATAGTAGTTATTTCTTTTAGTTAATCTTTAAATTATATAATTACTTTATTTATTATTAAGTTCTATTTAGGCTTTTAAACTCCCAAATTAATCTCTTAAATATATATACTAAAGGCTTCGACTTGCTCGGTAATTTATTAGCTTATTTTAAGTAAAATAAATAGAGAAATAAGGAATTATTAGCTACTTTTTTATATAGTTCTTATTTCTAATTTCTATGAAATTACATATATATATAAAGCTCCTAAAACCGATTTCTACTTAAATACTTTGTAATCAGATACTCAGATATTATATCCTTTATATTCTAATAGTTCGCAATTTTATTATTTATATATAAGCTTATATATATCCAAATTATAAAATAAATATAAATCTCTTTATAATATATTAGATATTATTTATTTGCTCGTATATAAGGGCAGGATTCGTCTTGAGGTTTTCGCATATAATCGTTTGTCTTCTCGACTATCAAATTAATGATTTCGGGAGTATAATATATAGTAAATAAAGTAATAGAATTATCTGGAGAGACATCTTCAGGTAAGGTGATTTCCCAGCCGAATTGGGGCAATTGCATAGGCTTAAAAGCACTCCCCTGCTTTCGTAGTGGATCCTCATTAGGCCGAAGGGTCCCTTTATTGGTAGAATCAAACACAGTAGCTTCTGGCATCGTGGTTGTGGTGCAATTAATCAATTTGGTGGTTTATTTACATGTAAAAATCAAAGCGTGGTTTTGGTGTTCCCCCGGAATAATAGTTAATCCGGCGCCGGAAAACACGAACCTGGCGGCAGCGGAACGGATAGATAACAACGTCTAATGACACTTATAAATAAATAAAAGGTCACGTGAGGAACACCAAACTAACCGACGCTGATACGCCACGTCGTTGCGAGGTCCCTCCAGCGAGCTAGCGAGCTGCGATCATTTAAGGCGTTGGATCGAAAGACCAACTTGAGATCGGAACACTCACACCACCGATGGTGCAGGTTGGAGGGTTGATCATTTGCATAATGCTAAAGGCGGCTGCTGACCCGAAAACCTCCGCAGTAAAATTGATAACGACCTCAACAGTATCTTGAGCTCCCTTCAAAACGAAATCGGCAGCGCCTCTAAATTGGTTTTCGGAATTGTAGATTGTTCGCAGGGCGGCAATTGTGACGGAGGTTTCGCCAAGCGAGCTGGAAACATCGCCGCCTCTCCATAAGTTCGCGCTGGTCCTCTGCTGGACCAACCACAGATCAAAGACCCAATAGGCCGAAGTAACAATTTGAGATGCCATACCAACGACGAATTTGCGTTTATCGTCTGGTGATTTATAGGCTTCAAGGTCATTGCTTTCCCGGTGTACAAGTGGCACCACATCCACAAGGGTTTCAGGAGTAGGTGGGTCGTCCTCCCAGGAAGGTGTAGACGCCTCAAGTTCTTTGCCATCGCTAGCGGGGGCCCTTTGAGAGATCCTAGGATTCTCTAGAGCATAGACACTGTCGGGTGCAGAAATGCTAGACCTTCCGAAAACGCCTAATAAATCGGTACTAGCAGGGTTGGGGAGGATTAAGGCAGTGGCCAATCCGGTAGTAAGAAAGAGACATTGTCTGAAATAAAGCATAATTATAGAAGCAAGTATTTGAGTCTGGCTAGTGTTTTATATCTAATAAGTTGCAAATAATAATTCAATTACAAGTATTTACTAGCCTTTATATATTCCCGAAGACCATAATAAAATAAAGATATTATATATTATAATTTTCTTATAAGATATTATTAAACTAAATTAAATTATTAATATCTAATTAAACTTAGAATTAGAATTTTTGAAATAATTTAATTTAATTTAATAATACTAGCTTAATTTAATAATACTAACTTAATATAATAATACTAACTTAATTTAATAATACTAACTTAATTTAATAGTACTAACTTAATCCAAAAATATTAATTTAATTTAAATTAAAATATAATTAAAATAATAATTAAAGTAATAATTAAAGTAATAACTAAAGCAATAATTAAAGTAATAATTAAAATAATAATTAAAATTATTAAAAATATATTTCTTGATCTAGTATAATCTAACGAGTTTAGGGCCGCTCCGTTAAAATTATCGCTGGCGGCCCTATGCAAGCTCCGGGGCCAGCAATAATTTTGCCCTAAACTCATCCCGAGTAGCTGGAATTACTCGAGCAATTGCAAGGTCAATTAGCTACACCCTGGCTCGCAAGCTCGCCTGCTGTGGCATCAAATCGTACTGGAAGTTTTGGTGCGAAAGTTTTGGTATTCCTCACGTGACCAGTTTTTTTTATAATGTACTGTGAGCCAACCGCACCACAAGCATGCACGCTTAGTCAGCCCTAACTCTCCTTAGCCAAGGTCGCTATATAAGGACCTGGCCTAATAAAGGTTCGAATTCTGGGTAATAACTATCCCTTTGTCCGGTGAGACATAGTTCACGCTAGCAAGGGGCCTGGCTTAGACTATAAAGTTATACCTTTGCTTAAAAACTTATTAGTCATTTATTACCTTTTCGCCCTAAGCCAGGCCCCCTTACTAGCGTGGACTATGTCTTACCGGACAAAGGAATACCGTATTCTTTACTAAATTACAGTAAAAAAATATTATTAGTTAATAAAATAAAAAGGGCTATTAAATAACTAAAAGAATAAGGCTAATTAATTGGCCGAAAAGTTAAAGCAGTTAAATAGCCAAAAGAACTAGGGCAATTAATTAGCCGAAGAATTAGGGCAATTAAATAGCTAAAATAATTAGAGTAATTAATTAGTTAAAAAGTTAGAATAATTAATTAGTTAAAAGATTAGAGTAATTAAATAGCTAAAAACGCTTTACTAAGTTATAATAAAAAGTAATTAATTAGCTAAAAGATTAGGGCAATTAAATAACTAAAAAAAAAGTAATTAATTAACCTAAAAATCTGGGTAATTAATTAATTAGCTAAAGTACTTTATTAAATTATAATAAAAGTAAATTAATTAAAAAGAAAGCAATTAATTAATTAAAAGTATTTTATTAAATTAAATTATTCTCTTTATAAATATTTATAATAAATCTAATATTTATTATATTTTTAAATTTTATTTATATTATTTCTTATTTTATTTCAAGCTAATTAAAATATAAAAAGGTTTTTAGCTTATTTATATAATATATTATAAATATAATAAAATATATAGCTTTTATTAATAATATTTTATTTGTTTATATCTTTAATTTTTTAATAAATCTATAAAATTAATATTTCATTTTATTATTATATAATTATAAAACTCGGGAAACGAAATATAAATAATAAAATATAAAATACGAAATATAATTAAATAATTTAATTAATAGCTTATTTCTATTAGGCTTAATAAATTTAGGAATTATATATTAATATTATAATATTATAATTTCTATTTCTAAATATTAACTATTTTACTAATTTTATATAAATAATATTTTATAATTATATAATAATATTATATATTTCTAGTAAATTAATATTAATTAGTTTATATATATAAATTAAAAATAGAATTTTTTAAGCTAAAGAAATATTTAACAGCTTATAATAAAATTGAACTAGTTTATATTAAAAAGGAGAATTATTTATTAATTTTATAAAAAAGCATTTAATAGCCTAAAAGAAAAAATAACTAGCTTTTATAAAAACTAATAATTATTTTATTAAAAAAAGAAATTATTTATTAATTTTATAAAAAAGTATTTAGTAATTCAAAGAAAAAGAACTCTAATTTTTACTAATTAATAAATAGTTAGCTATTTAATTATCTATTTATTTAATTATTTACTATTTTTTAAAACTATTTTTTTTGACTCTAAGACTATTTTCTTAGAAATTATCTTTTTTACTTATATAATACCCGAATTTATAGGATTTTCTTTTTGGAATATATGCCCTATATATACTTTTAAAGCTCTTTAATTATAACTTTAATTATATTACTAAATTAAATTCTTTAAGCTTTAGATTCTTTTAGAATTATAATATTTTATTTCTTAAATTTCTTATTATAAACGAAATATTTAAAAACGAAATATTTATTTTAATATCTTTAATATCTTTAATATTTTTAATATTTTTAAATATTTTTATTACTAAATACTTTTTATAAACCTATTATAAATTACTTTATTTTTAAACTTTTCTTATTATAAATTATATATATATTAGAAAAAGCTTAGTTCTAAGAATTTAATATAATAGAATTATAGAATAAATATATATAAATAAAGAAATAGAAAAGTAATATTAATCTAATTACTTATAATTAGTATAAGAAATAAATAAATTAAGCTAATTATAAATATTTATAAATAACTTAATTAATATATATATAATTATAATTATTAGTATAGCTATTTCTTTAGGAGTTACGTATATAGTTACGGGATATGGAATACGGGATATAGGCAATGAAATATAGATAATAAGATATAGGATATAAGATATAATTATATAATCTTGTATCTTATTAGTAACTCGACTAGTAAACTAGACTCCTTTAGGCTTAGCAGATTTAGGAATCATATATTAATACTATAATACTATAATTCTTACTTCTAAATAATAATAACTTTACTAACTAATATAACTAGCATTTCTATACCTATATAATAGTACTATATATTACTAGTAAACTAATACTAATTAGTTTATATATATAGATTAGAGAAGATTTTAGATTAGTCCTAAAAGTATTTGGTAGCCTAAAACAAATCTAGTCTATTTTATATTAAAGAGAACTACTTATTAATTTTATAAAAGTATTTAGTAGCCTATAAAAAAGATATCTAGCTCTTACTAATTAATAAGTAATTAGCCATTTAATTATCTATTTATTTAACTTCTATTATCCTTTAAAACTAACTACTTTTAGCCCTAAGACTACTTTCTTAGAAACTATCTTTTCTACTTATATAATACCTATATCTATAGGATCCTCTTTCCGGAATATATACTCTGTAATACCCTTAAAGCTCTTTAACTACTACTTCGATTTTACTATTAAATCGAGTCCTTCGAGTTTTAGACTCTCCCGGAATTATAATATTTCACTTCCTAAATTTCTTATTATAGACAAAATATTTAAGGATGAAATATTTACTTTAATACCCATAATACCCCTAGATATCTAGGGCATCTGGTATCTGAATCAGGTATCTAGTATCTCAATAACCAGATATCTGGCATCTTAACCAGGCATCTAAGCTAGGTATCTGGTATCTAAACCAGGTATCTGAACCAGGCATTTGGATATCTTTACTACCGAACCCTTTCTATAAACCTACTATAAACTACCTTACCTTTGAACCCCTTCTGCTATAAATCATATATATATACTAGAAAGAACCTAAACTCGGTTTAGTATAGATACTAATAAGGGAAAGGAACTAATTAAGAAATGAAAGAACGGTATTAATCCGGTAACTATAATAAAGGCTAAACTTTAGGAATATATAACTACTAAGATATATTAGTATATCTTATATAGGAAGAATAATAATAATCTATAGGATCTATTCCAGGATAACTTTAAAAACTTTAATACTATAGTATATAGTCTAATTAACTATATACTTATATAAAATCTTCGAGCCTAACTTTAGTATAATAGTATTTATATTAAATAGAACTATAGAAACCTTACTATTATATAATTCTTTATTAATTTTGCCTAAGAAAAGACAAAGAATATATAGAATAAAGCTAATATTATTAATAATAATCCAATTAGAATAGATCTTTTTTAGAGACCTATTATATTAGTTTATTTTATTCTAGATAGAACTAGATATAAGGGAACTAGATAATCTCAGTTAAGAAATCAAGCTATTTATTTACCTTTTCTAAATTAAGGCTATTTACTACTTCTATTTTTACTACTACTAGTATTACTACTAAACCCGAACTACTATTAATTAGTACTTACTATTTCTACTAGGAAGCTTATTAGAGAAGTAGTAAAGATATATTCCAAAGTATAGAAATATAATAGAACTAATAATAGTTTTAATTATAAACTTACTATCTTTCTTAATATCTGCTAATATATAAAGCTTTTAGGAAAGATACTAGTAAGAGCTTTTTTTATTATATTAAAGAAACTAATATAAGACTACTTTTATAATAACTAGCTCTCGAGCTATATATATAAAAAGGCCTATATAAATATTTATAGCTTCTTTAAAGGCCCCGGTTTCTATTATCGAAATTTAGATAAATAGAATACTATTACCTTAGTAACTATAATAGTAAAGAATCCTAAAAAAAACAATATTTGAGCTTGTCTAAATACTAATTAATAACCTATATAAATTATAGTATAGCCTTACTCCTGCCTTATAAAGTACTAAATTCCTATATAATAAGATTATTACCTTTTATTAAGGCTTATTAATATACTAATATATAGTCTCGAACCCTTCTAATAATCTCGGCTCGCTTATTAATAAGCTCTAATTATCTATTACTACTTATAAGAAAAAGTAATAAATTACTACCAAAACCTATTTTACTAATTAATAATACTATTCTTAAAACCCTCTAAACTACTATCTGTCCGGAAATTATTAATATAGACCTAG